TAACTTCCTCTATAATTAACACAACAGGTATAACTTCCTCTATAATTAACACAACAGGTATAACTTCCTCTATAATTAACACAACAAGTATAACTTCCTCTATAATTAACACAAGGAGTATAACTTCCTCTATAATTAACACAAGGAGTATAACTTCCTCTATAATTAACACAACAGGTATAACTTCTTCTATAATTAACACAAAAGGTGTTATTACCACATTATAATTACCTGCTAAAAACTAACAGGTGTGGTTACTACATCTGTCAACACTGGCCATTACACCTGCCAGCATTGTGGTCACTACACCTGTCAGAATTATAGCCACTACACCTGTCAACATTGTGGCCTACTCCTATCAACATTATGGCCATTATACGTGTCAGCATTATGGCCACTACACCTGCCAGCATTGTAAGTCACTACACCTGTCAGAATTATAGCCACTACACCTGTCAACATTGTGGCTTACTCCTATCAACATTATGGCCACCACACGTGTCAGCATTGTGACCACTACATCTGTCAGCATTGTGGCCACTACACCTAGCAGCATTGTGGTCACGACACCTGTCAGTGTGGTGGCCAGTAGAGAGAGAGAGAGAGAGAGTTTAAGACAAATAAAGATTGAGGGATATTAATAAAGAACGAGAGAAAGAGAGCCAGTTTTCTCACACAGAACCTTCTTTAGTACCGTAATACTCAAGTCTCGAGCTTTACCATTAACTGCAGCGACCACAAACTCGTCTCCGACAAAGTTGTCAGGTTGGCCAGGGACCCACAGAGGATGGCTGACGATCACCTCACCCCGCAGGTCATACCACACATTCATGTTGTCCTTAGCCCTCCACATCCCGATGAAGAAAACTGTATCCTGAAAGACGTGGTGGAGGACAAGGGTGTAGCTGGTGTCTGAGGGTAATGCCATACGACCACCTAGTACCTCACACTTCACCTTACCCTGCGACCAGGTGTAGCTCAGGGGTGTCAGGTACATCAAGTAGTTATCTGTACCTGCCACGTAGTAGGTGTAGAGGCTGACAGCTGCTGATTTTATCTTGATGACAGAGGATATTTCATTCATGTGCTGACACTCTCTGCTGACGGTGTCCCAAGTGTAGACCCAACACCTGGTCTCCTGGTAGCACTTCATGGCACACCTGAAGAATCATTGGGGTAATTATCATGATCACACTAAATTATCAAAGTTTACACACCTGCCAAGGCACCAAACTTACACGATCCTGGAGAGGTAACCGTGGTAGGTGTATGTGGCGTCGATCATCTCCTCTCCCTTGTAAAGCAGCTTAAAAGTTCGAGAGGCGTCAACAGCCCAGGAGGTCCCCAATAGGAGATCCGTCGCCGCTACCGTCAACAGCAGCAGCAGGAGCCGAATCCTCGCCTCAGCCATTCTCACCTCCTTCACTGCTAACATGAAAACGGAGAAATGACTTGAGGACGATGGCAGGACCTGAGACACACTCCTCGTACAGTAGAGGTCATCCCAACACTTACACGCACAGGCAATATTATCAGAACCTTCCCAAACCCACAACAGTAAAGATACAAGTACAGTATTTGTTTACGTGTAGTCTTGGTGATGAATGATCACATATACTCTCTCTTCATCTTCCCTTTGCCCCCCCCCCCTCTTCTCCCTTTGTTTTCCTCCATTTGTCTTTCTCTCCCGCTCTCTTTTCTATTCTTCCTTCCTTCTCCTTTAGTTCCCCGTTCTATACACAAAAGTACCTCTATTGAAAACACAGATGAATGCTACGCTCGTACAATATACAAACATTACCCTCATTAGTCGTGTATTGAGCTAAGTACAATTCAGTTTAATTCTATTCAGTAAAATCGTCAAACAAGTTTACATTGATTCGGCATATGTGTATTGACAATACAGGCACACAATATACATATCCAACAAAGCCATCCGATGTTTGTATTAAATAGGGTGGATCCTTTACTTAAGCTTGGTTAGATTTATAGTCCATACCTTGCAGCCAGAGGAACTTTTGTCACATGTTTTAAAGGATTCTTTCAGGGGGTGAACGAAAAGCCAGCTGGTTAAAGGCAGACATATTACTTTCATCTCTTGTGTGGTACTTCAGGGGTCGTCGATACAGTTGTCTCTATTCATATTGCCCCAAATTGGTGATTATTTTTCTCGAGTTTTGTGTCTCAATCGTAGCTAAAGATATTCCGATATCCTTCCCCTTTGCTTTATGTTATCCAGCTTTGTTTTGTGCCGCAAAAAAAGCACAAATGCTCATATATTAATTAGAAATGCTATAAAAAATAAACTAAAATATTTGTTACTTACTGATTAATGGTATCGGGTGGGGGTTGGCAGTAGTACTATGGTATTAAATGTCCGGAATTATCTTCCACCTGCTGGTTAGTGGTGTTAATGGGTTGTTCCAATACAAAGGCTGGAATTAGTAATCTTAGCATAGTTGATCCACAGCAACAAATGACCAGCCCAGGACTACCTCATGACCAGCACATGAACACACCATGACCAGCACAAGGCTAGCTCATCACCAGCCCTTGGGCACCCCATAACCAGCACAACATCAGCTTATAATCAACCCAGGACTAGTTCAAGACCAGCATAAAACCAGCTTATGACCAGCGCAGGAATAGTTCATGACCAGCACTTGAACGCCCCATGATCAATTAGCCGTATGTATATAAACCTGACTTACCTCTGCTTAACCCATCCTTACCTTACCTTTCCTAACATCTCCCCCTCGCCTGTAATATTGGAATAATATTACCTACATAGGAAGTCTCAGAACAATGTATACACACTACCTCACATAGTTTCCTGGAGATTGTATGAATGCCTGAATCTAATTTTTTTCATAATTTGTTGATTTTCAAGGTCTCCCACAAGTGAGGACAATGCTGCTCTTGTAACACATGTACTGCACTGTACAAGCATTCACGTGAAAATCTCCATGAAAATCAATATGGCAGTTTGTATACATTCTTTGAGACCCTGTGATTTACAACACTTGTGTCATCATAAAAAAAATATTGCAGATCGACGGCATCTCATGTAAGTAATTCTGACACTTCGTAAATACTGCTGTTAGCAGTTGTGAGTAGTTCCTAGTATCACCAATAAGGTCCTAGTATTTAAAATATAGCCCAGTGTGGTGAGGTCCTTAATTAAACGGACCATTTCACCAGACATCCCCTTCCATGCCTGATGTGTGGTCTAATATGGATGGGAATTATTTTTGGATTTAAATGTGTTAACTGGATTATCGGCGTCGGGTTTTATTACTGGAGGTGGAGGAGCTCGCGTGTGTCCCCGGATAACCGCCACTCGCTAAGTCGCTCGCAGGCTCGCAGCCTCACACTACTATCTCAAGCTCAGGAGCATGCCATGGCTCATGGATGACGTTTCTCTTTTTGTTCGTCAATGGTGCTTTTTTTAAATTCTAGGAACAAATAATGTTAGTTTATGTTGTATAAGTGTATTATTATCACAGGAACTGAATTAGTCAACAACTCGCAGCTCCCATGATGTTATTTACCAAACGTCACTTACATAACCGGCGGGCGACGGGCGGCACGGTGGAGGGCGGTGTTTGAAAATGGCTGTAATAGAAAACGTGGCTGGGAGAAACTCGCTGTAATAAGGGTAACTAGTATATTCCTGCATCTGTTCCGTAACTTTTTTACTTACTTTTACTTTATTTTTATCTTCTTAGGAGACCGGTCACGTCTCTGTTACGCACTGTTGGCAAGTATTGGACATGCACTGGCTCCTGAATGTTTCTGAATCTGCTCCAGTGCTTGTCAAGTCTGGTCATGAAAGAGTTCACACTTGTGTTGAAAAGTCATAATTAAATATGAATACAGTATGTATAAAAATATACCATATGACTTCCAATGCAAATTTGGATACAACACAGCAGCTTTGACGTAATATTCGCGACATAATGAGGCTCTTCTCTATTGTGATGTGGGTCATGTTACGATTAGAAACTCGAGGGTGACCGGCCATCAAGAGGGATTAAGGACCACACTATGGACAGAGGGAAGGATGGACGGATACATGGAGTACATCCTTCTTTTGTGCCGTTGTTGATATGAGTGAATCCCTGTTCCATTGCATCTCTCTATTAAGAAAAACCTTCACATACTTAACGAAAAGTCATGTGTCCCGGGCATAGGTCTTATAACACACACACATACCACCAGGTGTCTTGTCCACTGCCAGAGTGAGCGGGAGTGACTGATGGTGGCAGGGCAGTGACAGGCTTGGACTACCCCGAGTGCTAGTCCATCCTCTACTGACAAATGCAACGAGTCTCCATTCCACTCCCAATAACATTTACTTACAGAATCTTGTAAACGGATCCAGAATATTTCTCTGCAAGTTTTCCCTGATGTAGAAGATTAAGAAAGTTTAATTTGCTGTAGAATTATCAGGACAAGAAAACATATGATAATTTATAAATCTGCCTTTTCCCCAATTAAAACAACATATGGAGGTCGTCATTAGCGGAAGGAATATATATATATTATCTTGCTCGCCCCTGTCCAACTCATAGCTCTCTCTCTCCCTCCCTCTCTCCCTCTCTCTCTCTCTCTCTCTCTCTCTCTCTCTCTCTCTCTCTCTCTCTCTCTCTCTCTCTCTCTCTCTCTCTCTCTCTCTCTCTCTCTCTCTCTCTCTCTCTCTCTCTCTCGTTATCTCTCTCCTCTCTCTTTCTCTCTCGTTATCTCTCTCTCTGTCTCTCTCTCAGTTCAGGGATGCTTCACAGTCTTGCGAAGTGGACATTCCGGCATTTATCGAAAGTCTACAGATGATCAAGATCTATCTATCTATCTATCTACAGTAGCTATCTATCTATCTATCTATCTATCTATCTACAGTAGCTATCTATCTATCTATCTCTCTATCTTTCTATCTATCTCTCTCTAAACCATCCAGACAGCACCAAAGAAAACGACAGTCAACAACACGGGAACACAAGCGACCGAGTGAACGGCATCAACAATACCGACGCTTTGCCAGAAAACTTTTCAGTCATATATTTGGTGTAAAGGAAAGGAATTTCATCTATTATTGAATATGAAGGAAGCTACTGTGTGCAGATGACATGTGAACTGTGATGTATCAGCTACAGTCAGTTGTGAAGTGTTGTTGGCCTACAATTTCCTGTTGTTTCGCCGTCAAGGTGATTTGATTTGATTTGTTTACGTTAAAATTCATATATAATTGTATGTATCTGTATAAAATTTCATCAACGATAATACATTCAGTATTGTAAATACTTATTTCAGATAAATTTTCATTTAGGATAACGTATTAAGTGTTGTAAAGACTTATTTAAAATGGGGTCAACTAAGACTGCCTGTAAACTGTCAGATAGTGGCATCAGCAAAGACACTGACATTAATTGTGTTGTGCCAGTCTTATTTATGATTCTTATGCTGGACTGAAGTTGGTAGAGATTCGTTTTATGCCATAACTAGAAAATGGGTTAATATTGACGACTAACCCACCGATGCGTTATTTGTTTTGATGTTTATTTTCTTACTATATTTCATCTGTGAGTTCTGATATGATAATCATTTTGGTATTATTTTACTTTTGGACATAGCGCACTCCAAAGTTATAAACTACTGAAACATTTAGATCTCCCTATTCTTAGCATTTTGAACCCCATATATACCTGGCTTAAATGGATAATAGCGACACAATTGAATTTAATTGATTTTACGTACTTTTCGGTCTTCATCTATGTGAGGAGATGTTATCGTCGTGAAAGTGAGCTAATTATGAGCATCTTTACATCATGCATGTGTGATGTCTTCCACTCGTGACCAATGATGTATCGATCTCATCACGCAAATTTTTTTCAACCAATTATAATTGATTTTTTTCAAAGGGAGGAGCTAAGGTATGGATTTGAAGGATTTCAATTTCAATGACCAGTGTGACAATGGCCGTAGTAGAGGTTGGGTGTGAGTCGTGCTCCTACGATTATTTTAAGTTTATTGCTGAGTTTTAAGAGAAAGACGATAAAGCTATCCAATGCCCACATAATCACGGTGTTCTCCCTACACCTGTTGAGTGCCCGCTCTGTAAATTGCCTTATAAATTTAGAAAGAACAAGCATCAGAGGTTGACCCTGAACCTATCCCAGATCCTTCCACTTCTAACTAAGGTATTGTACTTTCGGACATGGCACACCCCCAAAGTTTAAAACTACTGAAACATTTAGATCTCTTTGGTTTGAGTCTTTTGAACTCCATTTATATTAGTTGGAAATGAATAGGATAGGTTAGGTTGTTTAAGCTAATCCTACCAGGGATCCGAGGGCGGAGCCCCCGGCTAGGTGGTTAGGTTAGACTACTCGTTCTCATGTTTTCCTCCACCCAAAACCCCAATTTCCCAGACTCTCCCCCATTATCGAGGGGGGGGGGGGGCAAGGAACGAGCAAATCCGCCAAAAATGAAGGCCAGATTCGTTTAAAACACACCAAAATACACTAGAAAACCACATTGGTCAACCCCTAGGGACTCATGTCCGAAAGTACAAATTTACCACCATTTCTTGTGCAATTGCACCTAGGTGTGCACTACTTTGTCTTTCAGTGGTGATGCCGGATCCTGGATGTAATCAACCAATTCATATTGACATATTTGAAGCGTAGTGGATATTTTGCCTTTACTGGCTAAGTTCCTACTAACGCTATTTTACCATGAGTGCACTCTTATTGCCTAAGTACTTTCTCTTTAATATGACAGGGGGTCTGCCCTTGACTAAGAAGTTAGGTAAGGTTAGGTAGGTTTTGTTGGTTGGTTAAATCAGGTTCTATTAGGTTCTAATAAATGTCTCTTTTATAATGATAAGAGCATCTGTGGAAAAAATTACAAAATCGAACATCTCCTGGTTAGGTATACAGTATATACGTATACGTATAGCTACACAACAATAGACTCATGGCGAAATAAATGCCAAATGACGCCAGATTCACGGTCACATAGCATTCTCGCATTCTTCACTGGTAATGGACAATTAGCCAATCAGAGCACACTCATGGTAAAGTAGTGTTAGTAGGAACTTAGCTGGTCATGGCAAAATACCCACTGCCTATTTTAAAACACTCCGCTGCACCACGCACCGATTGCTGCCTATGCTCAGTATGCTTTATGAGCCGCATGGTCTGGGCAGCTTCTCTCATGCCCACAAAAGACATAAAATTACACCATATATTAAGATATTTCTGTTTAATATGCCAGTGGGTCCAGGGGGTGGAGCCCCACGGCTAGTAAGTTAGGTAAGATTAGGAAGTTTTTTGGGGGGGTTAGGATGGTCAAGTCTTCTAACATCACTTCTGCTGCTTGTTTTTCTTATCAACTAAGTTTAGGTTGGGTTAAAATAAAAAATAACCACCTTTTAACGCATTTGCACAAATTACGACAGTGTCCACTATAAAACAGAGTGAAAGTACGCCATTTTTAAATTCGTTTTCTATGAAGAATCGGCGGTGGGGCAGTCATGAATAATTACCAGGAAATTATAACTCAATAGGTTTTTCTTGTGTAATTTTTCTTGTTATAAATAAATATGATCTTTATTTCTGTGGAGTTATGTAAATTTATGGAGATATAACTCCTTTAACACTCGTAATGACAAAGAACCTTCTAAAGTGGGCAGGGTTTTGAATATGAGGGAAATTGAAAGGTAAAAAAAAAAATTGAAAACCCTACCTATGTTTTGAACCTACTGTATATCATGACCAATTTTATTAAAAGGTATAAGTGGAACAGACGGTTAGCATTTTTTTTTAACAGGGAATAGTCCATCTGGGCACAGGTCATCGACCCACAACAGGGCCCAGGGGGCAGAAAAATAAGAGTAAAAAGAAATTAAAAATATAAAAGAAAAAGATTATATTTATCTACACCACAAAGATGCTGGAAAATCAGCTTTTTGAAGTAAGACAGATTCTGTTGAGTAAGGAAACACAGAAGAAGGCTGTGTGAGGAAAGAAGGATGTACTATAATTGGGTTATTCTAGTGTGACTGACAACCACAGAGAAATGGTAGGCACTGCGGGCAGGAGGAGTGGTACGAGCCCATGGCATTGCCAGCGATACATTGCCTGTTAAAGTACAGTACTGTACCTGTAAGAGAGAGAGTGAAGCAACATTGCGGCGAAGAGAAAGGAAAGAAAGATTATACCACTGGTCAACAGCCAAAATGGTTCACATATGAGATCATGCTCACACAACTAATTTCATATTGCTGAATTCGAATCTGATATTTGTTTTGTTCTATCAGACCAGGTTTTATAAAAAAATCAATAGGTACAAATATTTAATATTCCATCACGTGTCGTGCAAAAGATGAGATTATCTCATGTGACTGTGCTTTCATGACTAATTTCATATTAATGAATATTAATTGGATGTTTCATTCTACCATCAGACCTACTTTCTTAAAGAATAAAAAAAATAGTAAATATAGTAACATTATCGCGTCATGCAAGATACAATTTTAAACCTATCACAGATAAGCTCATAAAAAATTGTACCAAAAAACATAAGTTCAAATCCTTTATAATGACAAAATATGAAGTTCTAAAAGTGCTTCTGAACTTTACTCTTTCTCTTGTACAGCTTGCTCTCTTCTCATTGCAGTGTCCAGCAATAGTCGCCCATCATGTTAGGACTGAATTGTCCCTGATATCTGCTCTCCATTATGGCGATATCTTGATGAAATCTTTCGCCGTGTTCATCACTAACGTCTCCAAGGTTACCTGGGAAAAATTCAATATGAGAGTGGAAAAAATGCAATTTCAAGGACATCCTTGCTCCCAATGCATGATAATTCTGAAGCATGGTTGTTACGATTTCTTTGTAGTTGTCAGCACGATAGTTTCCAAGAAAATTCTTTGACACATTGACAAATGATTCCCATGCTTTTTTCTCCAGTGGGTTCAATGTTTTGGTGAATTCGCTATCATTAACTAGTATACGAATTTGTGGTCCATTCAAGACACCTGCTTTCAACTTGGCTTCGGAAACCACACCACCTAGTTTCTGAGATAAGTATAGAGTCCCAGCACCGAATTGATCCATAGCCTTGATGAAATTTTTAGCCAAACCGAGCTTTAGATGCAGTGGAGGCAAAATTATCTTTTCTGGATCTACAAGCGGATTGTGAGCACAGTTAAACCTTCCAGGCGCATCTCTTGGTCTTGTCGGCCAATCCTTTCTCACATAGTGCTCTGCATCAGCTCTGCTGTTCCACAAGCACAAAAAGCACATGTGCTTTGTGTAGCCACTCTGAAGGCCCAGTAGTAAACTGATGACTTTGAGATCGCCACATATCTTCCACTGGTGTTTCTCATACTCTATAGCGGCCAACAGAATTTTCATTGTTTCATAGCTCTCAGTCATTTTTGTTGCGTGTGCTATTGGGACAGATGGAAGCCAATTGCCATTGTGTAAAAGAACAGCTTTCAGAGAGTCTTTTCCTGAGTCTATAAACAGCCTCCAATCCTCTGTCTTGTATGTTTCAGACTTGCAGAGTTGTTGCATGAGAGATACTGCGTCCTCGCAATAACAAAGGTTGTTTGCCATCTTGAAAAATGCAGACAGCTGTCTATGTCGGTAACATGCTGTAGTGATATGCACTCCATCTTCTGGCAGGTTACGCTGCTTTAGTCTGGATCCCAAAACTTCAGCCTTTTCTTTTGACAAGTTTAGGTCCGTGATGAGATCATAAGCGCTTCTTGAGTAAATAGTTTAGGCCTGGTATTTTCAGAGTCATCCTGGTAGTCGTTTTCCATTGAGGTAGAGGTAGAATCGGAATCACTCAATTCTTGTTCAGTCGGTGGATTTGGGACTGGAAGTTCAGCATTGTGCGGTACTGGTCGGATTGCAGAAGCAATATTGGGGTACTGTACCTTGCCTCGTGTCTTGATTTTTATTCCCTTAATATTTGTGAGACAGAAGTAGCAGTCACTACTGTGGTCTTTAGGTTCATGCCATATCATTGGTACAGCAAACGGCATTCCTGAACTTCGTTTACCACACATCCACTCGCTCAGGTGGTTAACACAAGACTTACAGGCTACATGAGGTGCCCATTTCTTGTCTTGGTCACCCAAATGACATTTGAAGTAACTTTTGTAGTTCAGTCGAACAGCTTTTGTGATTG